TAAGAATATTTTAAAAATTAAAAATTTTATTTATTTTTTTTTTAAATTTTATTTTTTATTTTAAAAAATTTAAAACGTAATAGGTATATGGGGAATCTTTTAAAATAGACTGGTAAAAGCCGACGAAGAATAAATCTTGAGTATTACGTTTATAAATCATTTAAACTACTCCATTAGCCAAACCTCCCATACCACTTATCTAATACGTCGTATAAAGAGTTATGCGTAGCATGCATTATAGGAGCTTAACTTCACAAATGAGAACCATTTGACAGAGTGAGTTATGACCTAAATCCGTCACATTGTGTAAGAGAATTCGCAGCTAGCTCTGGATTAATATCATTTCAAATGTACACTGATGCTGTTTGACGTTTTCAACTCACTAATTGCTTATGGGAAATTTGACACGTCACATCTGTGAAATTCAATTGTTACATATTACTATTATGTAATACTCCGCTAAGCGTAGCTTGTACTATGGGTCCTAGAACATTGATAAACTTATATTATTTTTTCATTTATACACATATATTTAATACCAAGACAGTGTAATTGTACACAGTGTGTAACAATGTAATAGTGTTACGAAAATGTTTGCATGAAACCAAACAAGTTCATTAACCAACATTGTTAAGCTAAAAATTGAGGATTTAGAAATTTCTTTGAAATTAAATTATTTTTTAAGTTACAGCCCACGGAATAAATGTTGTCTTTAATACCGTTTTGTATACAAGATGAAATTATGTATGAAAGATAAGTGAAAACGAATTTTTAAAACAGGAGATCATTCTTTCCAAAAGTATTTGGGACATGTACAGGTTGGATTGTACCTACTAATAATACCAAAACAACAAGGCTTTAGGTATTGTCATTTTATTATAATTATGTATTGTTCAATTTGTTGTGTTGAGAAAAACACTTCAGGATCTTTAATTATTATTTTTTGTGTACTGTATTACACTACTATTGCTAAAACATTTAGTGCTTTATATCAAGATTAAAGTAAATACATATTCATGTTTACAATTTTAAAACAGAAGATTTCTATCTTAATACTGTCTAATCCAGTGCAATATTATTAGAAATAGATTCCTGGACTAAAAGTCGGCCTAAGTAGTCAGTTGCTTAGACAGTTAGGAAGTCACCTGACCAAGTTGCATAACTGATGTTGAGACAACTAGATGCAAAGTTTCAGAGCTAAGGTCGCATTTACGGTGCTATTTCTTCTAACTTTCTACTTCAATTCCAGGAGTTAACAAGTTTTAAAGTGATGGAGACTCTATCTAGAGGATAGTTTTGATTATTTAATGCCAATAGTTTCCATAAACAGAGTTCTAGAGTTTTGTCTGTTGTCAAAACTAACGCTAACAGTAAAGAAGGTATTGTTACAAACAGATTAAGAGAGAAATAAATAGAATTTGCTGATGTAGCTTTTAGCAAGTGACAATAATAGGCCATGTCATTTAAAGAACAGACAAATGTTGAAGTAGGAAGTTTCTTGAGTGCTTCTTGTGACCATTTTGGACCGAGAAAGATCAGAAAGGCACAGATGCTGATCAAAGTAAAAGGAAACGGTAATACTGTATCAGATACATACTTTATTTCAAAATTAAATAAGTACCATGAGTAGTGCCCATGTTTGTCAAGGGATATTTCTTGATAATGATAATAAATGTCTAGACCAGCTTTATTGTAAAAAAATATATAATTTTTATTAATTATTATCAGTTAATTATTAAAAAAATAAGAATTGCGTATTATTAGTTATGTTGAGGTCAGATAGATCATAAAACACATCCTGATCATGAGTAATTTCAGAAGAGCAGTGTATTATTAGTACAGAATATAAAGGGTTGCAATTACTGTAAGTTTTCTTTTTGGATAAACAAGTACAAATAACAAACGTCAAAAAATAAGAATGGATCAACTTTCTTGGATTGATATAGATAACACTAAAGATTAAAATAATCAGTTTGATTGTTTTTGTACAGATTAAAAGTGGTTCGTAATTGACTTAAAGATTTAATCAGTCAGGCACAAAAACGCCCACTGCTGGACATACGCCTCCCCCAAGGCTGTCCACAACAACCGGTCCCGTGCACTTCCCGCGACCTGCATCATGTCATCAGACCACCTTGTTTACGGTGTCTATCCACGCTCCATCTTTTGTTGTAAGTTTTCATGTTATAAATGGATGCACTTACATAGAAAAATACGTCGAATTCCTATAACTTTACACAGGTTGAAATAAGATTTACAATTAAAATAAAAAGAGAGTTTAGGCGTTTACCACCAATGGCTCTATAGTTGATTTTTGAACAAAATGAACACGAGCATATCGTTTAAATTGGATGCAAACACCGCCAAGTACAGTTTCCTCTTACCGACGTTGATCAAAACAACATCGCATCGCTGCACAAACTTTGTTCGATATTCAGAACTTCTTGTCAGTAACCACTTTAAAGTCTAACAAGCCCAGAAAATAGATGCAGTTATCCTATTGGATTCACACAGAAGCACAATAATAATAATAATTGAGCTTGAACTATTTAATTTGTTTCTTGCTTCAATGTTATTCTCGTTTAAGTTCTAAATTGTTGGTAAGTATTGTTAAAGATAATACTTTCAACTTTTCGTACTATTGAAATATATACTTTAGCGGTTGGGAAGAGGATTTTTATTCAATCGATGATTTATAGAAAAGCCGAGCCAGATTTGTAAAGCCAAAGTTTTAGTTTTGGTATTGACAAAATTGCATGTTAATCCTATGCCGGTTTGCTACGAGTATAAGCCGAAACCTTGGATTATTACTGTTAACAAGCTCAAATCCTATTTCTACTGCTTATAGTGATTCCTTGTTTTACATTTCTGATTCTAGTTGTAATCAAAATGTAAGTATTTATTAAATCTGTTGTCGTCTATTTTGTAGAAAAGTATCTATTGCTCACGCTGCGTCGGACATACAATTTTATTAGTTTTACTTAACTGGTTTTAAAACAAAGTATCAGGGTTCAGGAATAGCATACAGTGAGTCCTTTAATAAGGAGCTCAAAGACCTAAGTGTCACCATAACCGTGTGTATCTAAAACCATGGGAATACTATACACAGAAGTTACTATTTAGTAAGTAGCCTAAAATGTTTAAAGGGTTATATGAAGCCAAGAAGTTTGATGACTTACATTTATATTTTGATGACTAGTAGATCTTGGACATGATATTACAACCGGTGTTATAAACAATATCTTTATAGAAAGCTATCCACTAGTTAAGTCAAACAAATTTATGTAAAACATCAAAAATAGCATACCTGCTCAAGTAGTCGAAGCTTCCTCCTCTGCGAGTGTTCCTCTAGCCGGTCGACGTACTCTCGCAACTCCTCGATTTCTTCCTTCACCTGCTGTACCGTGTCCAGCTCCTGCTTGATAGCCACCATGTCACGCTTTACCTGTACGGGCAATCAAACGATATTTAACATTCATCTCATGCAAACGACTTGATGAACAGACGAACAGACAGGTAACGAAAAAAAAACAAAAAAATATTTATATGTAGACCTAAATTTAAAACATAGTGTATCATATTTTACTAACTGATTCGCGTAAAATTTGAATTAAAATTTTTGGTCAATTTAAGTGTTGCCTTAGTGATGTAGTACGGTACGCGACTGCAGTCCACGAGGCCTCGGGTTCGATTCCCGGACCGTACAAACTATTATAGGGTTTTTCTGAGAAGAAAATAGCCTAAGTTACTTCTTATAATAATATAAGCTTAAGCTACCTAGTTAAATATTATCAAAATCGGTCCAGCTGTTTTAAAGATTACCCAGAACAAAAATATTAAAACTGGTTTTTAAGCAGATGTATCGTGCAAAATAACGGTATGAACATGAACAAAAGCTATTATTCTGACATTACAAACAAACACTTCAATTTTATTAATGTATATAGATTTCATTACGTAGAAGACTATAAATGTAAGAAAAACTACCTTATTGAAAATCGACTCTAACTGCTAGAAAGATTAAAGTGTAATCTAGCTCACCCAAACTGTATTTAACAAAATACCGTTTGCATTTATCTATCAATTAACTCCAAACCCTAACTGAGGTTGTCATTTTACATGGCGTGGCAATTGAGCGGCGGACGTACGCTGGTCTCATACTCTGGTCAACGTTTATCACCTCAATTAATGGTGTCTGGTAACAACAGTCAGTAATTGAATAATAGGACTGTCGATTGCATGTTATTTCATTGGTTTTTGGTAGTTTTAATTGTATTTTTGATTGATATACGAACACTTTGTCTTACGAAGAATCGCGGGGAAACTAATATATGCATATAGAAATGTTTATATATTTAATAATCCACCAGATCCCGCTTACATAAAAATACGAAAAAATAACCTACATCAGACGGCCCATATTAAGCAGCTTTGCACGTATACTAACAGCAAAAGGTTTCCGTAAAGTTTTAAGCTTTAAAATATTGAATGCAAAACGATTAAAAATGTATTGCAGACCGTGCCGCAGTTTAAAATATTTCAAAACGGCGAATCGTCATGGTTTAGGTATTACGTGAATGGCCGGATTATAAAACATTTGTTTTGCTCACTTTGATTTTTGATTTTAGATATTTATTTCTCTTTCTCTTTACTTACTTCAACGTATAACTATAATCTTTTTATCCTAGGCAACATAAAATCATTTTTCATAAGGCGCTATTAACACCCATGTAAAATCAATAAATAAGTACATATAAGACCTTCATGAATCTATGTTTTTAAATGTAAATATATTTCTTATATATAGTATTATATGTTACATACGAGTATTATATCAGTGCACACGTAGATATTATTCTCTCCTAACGTTTTGCTGTGCCCGACTGGGTCCATAATGGTTGGTATTTTTAAGACCATTTATTTACATTATGAAACGCAATAAAACTATATATATATATATATATATATATATATATCAAATCTAATCAATTTGGACGTATTCGGACGGGGTGATTGGCAATACTGCGGTGGACAGTTCGCCGTCTGTAGAACAGGAGGCTGTCAGCGGCACTTATGTAATTATACCTGATGCATGCATGCGAAGTCTTTTTTTCTTACATCACGAGGGATGAAGAGAAACGATAATCGCCCACACACCCCTCGACATATATATATATAGAGACTAAAAGCCTCCACTTAAATGTGGTTCTCTATTGTGCTATTAATTGGAGATAGATTAAAAAAATTGCAGGTATTTGTTACGATTCACTTACTCTTTTATTTGACGTGACGTGGTGTTGATTAAATATGCGTCTAGGGTTATCAGGAAAGGAGGTCGATATTTTCTAATATACCTTTTTAAAAGCCATTTCTTCAGTTTAAGTCAACTATTTTATACGTATAACATGAAATCACATTTCATGAAATCATGCAAAAAGTTGTAAAGTTCCTATAATGTAAAAATTGTTTTGGGTAAATTGAATCGGCAGTTTCTATAATATTGAATTTAAGCTGCATAAACTTAAATATTACATTTACCAAGCGGCGATTTTAAATATTTCTTTTAGCGGAATGATCTGGTTACTTTACTTTAACGTTGACTGTACAACGTAATATGAAAATACGAAAATGAATAGCAATAAGATTGAGGTTGACTTGAAATAAATCACATGACATTATGATCGTTTCGAATTGCAATTCTTTAGCTGCAGAGACTTGCACGCGATGCCAATCGGTCTGCACGCGACTCTTGCGACAATAAATCGCTTGTTGACTTCGTTGTCACGTAAAGTCAACAAGCTATTTATTTCTGTTGAACCCTTCGTAATTTGCTACATCGATGTAACTAGTAAAGTTCTAGACTTAGCATTTTTATGTCTGACAACTTTCAACTTTGTCCTTTCTTCAAAAGGCCTATCCAGACCCTATACTGTACTCGCACAGTATTATTTAACTTTGTTTACGGACTTAAAAAAAAGACCTCTGTGGTTTTGTTTCGGCGTTTCTTCCCAGAGTGAGTCTTAGGAAATGGCTCCTTCTAGCTGTAAAGTCCGACTTGTAAAAATATCTGAAAAGATTTACTTACAGAAATAAATATCATTTATCATTTGAAGTTGGGTAAATGGGTAAACACCGAATGGTTTGGGACTAGATGGCGTTGTGTGTATGTGGTAGAATATATTATATTATTATTTTAAAAACTAGGTGTGTTTTAGTAATTGCATATTTTCTACTAAATTAACTCTTGGTCTAGTGACATATGTACGTTTCAGTTGTCCATCTCTATGTTGATGTGGTGTTACTATCTCAAATAAAAGTTGTTAAACTAATTAATCAAAAATAACTAGAAGGTGAATTATAAATTGATGTATTAAAATTAAATAATAAGAATTAATATATCCATAAAGAACTTAACAGCGACAATGATCAGTGATAGGAGAAAAATGCAAATATTGTTCCTAATCCCTTCATATTTAAATATGGAATATTAATGTTTGTAAAGCAAAACATTACAAAACTGCATTCACGTCACATCAACAGCCTATAACAGTCCACTGCTGGACATAGGTCTGCTCCCTTAGTCGGCTCTTACGACACCCACGGGATGAATAGGCGTGGTGACACTCCGTATACTTAATCCGTCCCCACCCGGACACCACAAAAGTGCATTAGGAATCAACAATATATTGTTTTTGATAGTTATTTTCTCTTGAGTGTGTTCATATATTAGGGCTCAAAGTAGCTCAAAGTTCAGTTGGGGTGAAAAATGATAAAAGCTTTTCACTAATATTTTGATTTCCTGACAAAGAACGATGCGCTTACTATTAAACATCGAATATTTTTATTATTGTATAATCTTTTTTAAGGCTAACCACAAGAACAAATAACACTACTCTAGTATTATTTAATTTCCCCTTGGGTGAGTTTTCAATACTCACAAATACAAAATCTTCTGTAATCTTCTGTGGCAGCGTAAAATGAATTGACGCAACGGATATTACGAAGAAGGCAGACTGATCTTCTCAGTCCTTATAATTTCCGTGAAATAAAAGATATTGGAAGCTGCTGTTGCACTAGCAACAGGAAACCTAATTTATGACAAGGCGGGGGATTTACCTCACTAAAATCTGTTTCATAATTTTCTTATTGATTGCGGTGGCAAAAAAATGCCTGGTTCTTTTAAATTATATAAATGATGGGCCTGTTGGTCTAGTGTTTAGTAACCCTGAGTGCTAAACTGCAGGTCGCAGGTACGATTCCCACCCAGGACAAATAAGTCTGAGAGGGTCACGCTTATTTGTTTCTGTATCTGAGTGTAATTAAACAATAATATGTATGTATTTAAAGGGGCTCGCGGCTAAGTGGTAACCGAATGCAAATTTAAGCAATCTTAGCCAAGTAAGTCTATGGGTGGATGACAATTCTTAACACATTGAGACCCTTACGTGCCTCGGAGAGCGCGTAAAGCTGTCGGTCTTTTTGCCATACGAACATCTTTGCCCGTCGTTACAGATAGTTGGAACCCTAATACAGGACAATAGTCTTTCAACAGAATTTTGATATCGCCTAGTACTTGGGTTGTGGAGATCTGCTGGCAGTGATAATAAAAAAATTGAAGTTCAGCCGTATCGTAGTGGACTTAAAGTCGACTCCACCAAGTTCAGGAAAAGGCCTCGGAGGAGGAGATGTATGTGTTTAAAAATATTTATAAATGTTTATCAGTAGTCTGATTACACGGCACAGGCTTTGCCTAGTTTAGGATCATTTAGTCGTGTATGAGATGTGTGATGTCACTATTATTATTAAATTCGCATTCAAAGACTGCATTTCTTATTCTTATCGTAAAAACAGTCCTTTTATAAATGACAGGCTGTGATGTGGTGGAATATTTAAAGAAATGTCTATATATGTATAGCTAGTGTATGTAGTTTATATCAGGTTATTTGTAATTTCTTGTTGGTTTTGAGATTTTAACTACTACTAACGTATAGTAGCAGCACTGTAGTTTTACTCCGCAATATAATCTAAATAAAAAACAACTCTAGCTCTGACACAATAAAGTATAATTCAGGGTGCACAGCGCTAACCACCTACAGTTTTATGCTCCTAAAAGTTACTTTTATTTTTATTATGTAACTCTTACTCTTGACTATGTTAGAGTTGCATTTCTTAAGTAAAAAGTAAATTTTAGATCCTTGTCATTATTTACATAGACGAATACGATTTATACGATTTTGCGTTCATTATAGTAATATTCGATCTCGGCCCGAGTAATACCATTGCTTCATAGAAAAAGCATACAAGAAAATAAAAGCAATTTTTGCTTTGCATTTCACTGATTGACAGTGTCTGAGTAAGTGAGGTTAGACCCCCCCCCCCCAAATTCTGGATGAAATACTAAAAGGCCGACAAGCCACTTATGAGTCCTGAGTTGCAAGTGTCTATGGACGGTGGTAGTCACTTACCATCAGGTGTTGTTTGCCCCATATACCATAAATGAAAACAATAAAACGCGCGTCGCAGCAGGGCCCATTAAATTTACCTAACTTTAACTGCGGAGTGGGGCTAGCCAGCTATCACCGCAATGGCGTTAAAAGTCAGCTTACGAATGAATAGTGCGGCATATTAGGCGACCGAATGGCGTAGTGGTTTGTGTAACGGACTGCTATTCCAAAGGTCGCGGGTTCGATTCCCGCTCAAGTCAAGCATTTGTGTTCATGAACATTTAATGTTTGATTTGGTCTGGGTGTTTCTATGTAAAATATGTATGTATTTACAAAAAAAAGTATATATGTATTTATATCAGTTGTCTAGTACCCATAGTACAAGCTCTGCTTAGTTTGGGACTAGATGGCGTTGTGTGAATGTAGTAGAATATTATTATTATTATTATTATTATTAAAGTACCTAAGCGTTACATTAGTTGAAGACGACACAACTATATAAAAATGTTGTGTAAATATATCAAGATTTTAACTCTATACAGCCTGACGTCAAAAGTAAGGATATAGGACTCCTGAGTTGCAGACGTTCATGGGCGGCGATGGTCACTTTCCATCAGGTGAACCTTCTGCTCGTCTGCCTCCTCTAACATAAAAAGATATATAATATGTAGTTGCATACTAAATATGTTTTCTTAAGACAAGCCAAGTGGCATATAAACATATTCTTTGGGGCGAGTAAACTATAACTCATGGTTGCAGTAATTCCTGCACTATCTTCTTAAAATAAAATATTCGATTCAGGTTTTGAAAAAAAAAAACACCATTAATAATACGAATACGTCAAAAGAACCTGCCTGTCGCTAGATGTACCCTACTAAAACGTATCATCGACTTTAAAGTACTACATCATGATAAATTGCAGACTGTATTCTTGATTGAAAGGTGGAGAGCTAAGCAGCTTTCCACCTTTAAGGATTTTTTTCTATAAACGTAAATGGACGTATAGTACAGAACCGCTTCGTGAAATACATTTTGTATTTGGGAGGATTCCCAAATGAAAATAATTTTCCAGATCGCTTCGTAAATGACAGAGTGCTGTACTAACATACATAAAAAAAACTGAATATTTAAGTCCTCGTGGACAACTTGAAGTCTTTTAAAATGGTTTAGGTTAGGTTCCCCTTGACAACTGGCTGAATGAGGTTTTTATGCAGCTTGTCTTGATACAAGTATAAGTATTTATAAACGCGGAGTATTTTCTGTCATATGTATTACTCTTCTTCGTATGAATGCCCAATCATTACTTACAAGGTATCCAAATTAACATAAAATTAAAATTCTGACTATATCAATGTTAATATATTTAAAACTATTTCATGATTCTGTACAGGTGGTGAATAAACAAGGCTCTCCGTACTCCAATACGAAAGTACCTAACTTAAAATTGACTATTTCTGGAAGTTAATACCAGGTAAGCGCAACTAACTGTTGGAAAAAAAAACTGATGCACTCCGGGAGTGCCAACAAAAGGTAAAACTTATATACAGAGGTGTCGGTAACGGTAAAAGTGTCGCGAGTTCAATGTTTTTTCCCATCTCAAAACAAAAATACATTCTTTTGTTTGTTGTTCAAAAATGCCCAACGCGCCTAAATAAGATTTCACTTTAAAATAACAATTTTGTATTAAAACAGGCCGTAGAAGGATAGTTGGAAAAAACTGTAAAACTTGCATTAAAAACTATTTACTGTTAAAGTTTTCCATTACAAGCGTGTTATTAAAAGTACTGTCTGTCCGTCTATCGCATCAAATTGTTAAATATATACTTACTATAGTCACGACACATTTTAATCTTAATAAGAAATTAAAAAAAAACTTGACTTACTTCGGACACCTCACTCTGACATGACTCCACACTCTTGGTCAACTCCTGAAGCTGTGTGCGAATCTCGCAGAGAGCGACCGTTGTCTCCAACTGACGATCCCCACGCTGCAGGTCGTCCAACTTGGCGGATAGATTCATGCTCATCACGCTCACCTGTCGCTGTAGGCTGACCAACCAATCAGAAATTAGTACAGGAATAATGCTTCGACCTACGCTTACAAATTGAGCGTTATTTGGAGTCTGTGGCAGATGATTGATCGTATAAAGTCGTAGTAATCGTTTGAACCTCAATGTTTCGAGCGATCACTATTCGAATTTCGAATATCTAGGATTGTGTGAACGAGATAAACGTTCACATGATAACTATATACAGAAATTTGCCTTTGTTGACATTAGTGTTCAAAAGGTCAATCATGTTTACAAAACAGATATAATATTATCTTGTTATACCATTTACTCGTCCCGAGCGAAAAGCCGCTGCGGGAAGCTCATATAGTTATAATAAGACCGATATTAAGAAATATTTTATATCAATGTTTATCAACATAACACCGTTTGTTAAATAATAAAGCAGTGTTTCTTTCAGATTTATTGGTTATTTTTATTAGTTTTATGTCTCGTTGGTTGTAGATATAAAATAGTACTACATTCATTGAATCGGTCGTTCGTTCTTATTTTAGATATTTATTTTAATCTGTCTACAACAATTCCAAAGTAATCATAGACGTCGTGGAACTTTAAGAAGTTTTTATAAGAAACCCAAACTTAATAAGGTTTTTCTTGTGATTTATAAACACTACTGTGCCAGTTAATGTATTGTAATGTTGATTTAGAACAATGTCAGCAATATCTTTTAAGTGAAAGGTGAACAAAGACAGAGGTGAATGCAATGATATTTAATTGGATTTGTCGATTACCTACTATTTTAATTATTATTTTTAAAAACTAAAATGAAATACAAAAGAAAACTTGTAACCAAACGTCTATTGTCTTCTAAATGTCTAGATTTAAAACACTACAGACGTTACAACCACACCCATGCAAGCAATACTCCCGTCCTATCTGTCCCGAGTGTACAATGCAAGTGGTCTAAGCGCTGATGGTCCGGACAGCGGGACACGTCACACAGTCGTGGCCATCGATGCTAACCATGTGGTGTCGCGGTGCTATGGTCCGATGTTATGAGAGGAACTGTGAATGAATCAGCCGCCGCGATTGGACTTATCGAACGCATCAATATCTGTAATACGAGATAGGATGCCAAGCCAAGGTGAAACATAATGTAGAAAGAGACACATCGACACATAGAGAGATCCTTATGATCATATGCAAATGAAGCCAGTATTAAAGCCAGAAAGCTTTCCTGTCTAGTATCACGTACCTAAGTAGAAGCTCCCTGAGTGTGGTCTCGTCTTCTTCCGTCGGCGCATATCGTGTCAGCTTGCCTCCGCCCTCCCGGGCCACATGATCAGGTACCACTGTGTGAAAACTACTCGTTTATTTATTTTTACACAACCTGATGCTCGGTAAGTACCGTCGGCTAGGCCTTTTAACATCACCGCTGTTGCGAGTTTGTGGTTCTAACTGATTATGAGTTTGATGATGCGTGGCTCATAATTTTGACGGTACGTGCTCACCTACCCAGCATCGAACCTTACACCGTTTGCCAATTAGCTTCAATGGCCACGACAATGATCCTTAATTAATTTTGATGGTCGTATCGACATTCAGAAACCGGCATGTTGATGGAAATAAAGCTGATACTTCGGCGCTACGTTTTGAAACAAAACAAAGTGTAAATAAACTTTTTTATGTATGTGAAATTTTTAGAACCATTTTTAAAATTTAAAATAAATATAAAATATTTATATCAAAAATTATATTATTCATTTTTTATTTGCTATTTTACATTATTCAACTTTACACCTGTAAAAATAAAAAAAAAGCAGTTATATATTAAGCCATGTATGATAAGATAAAGTGATACGACGTACAAAAAAACTTAATGGTCTTAGATAAAGTTAAAACTTACGAAATTGTCTAAAATTTACTTTTACAATACTCGTATAAATTGACATTCGAACGCGAGAAACGAACGAAACACGAGAAAAAAAAACAGTGTCGAATCTCAGTTGTATTTAATTTGTAAAGCTGGTAAACACTTTCGTGTCAATTTTTAAACGAAAACAAACTTACTCGGTTCAACAAAAAAAAAAAAAAAAACAAATCCTAAAAGAAAAGGTAGATAGAAATAGAAATCAACAATCGAACATTGTTTCATTTGTCGATACCGCTCAACGAATACAAAATCTTTTACACTCGAATTGATGTAAACTGACGCGGATTCTTGGTTTTGTATGTATTAAACATTCACACATTGACAATGAATACAGTACGAACTTTCATAGATTTTTGTTCTATGTGTGCGCGAATAGTTTTTAAGTCAATGAATAAAGGGTTGGGACATGAGACGAATTTGTCGATCGTTTTGATGGTAGTATTAATTCAAATTTAATGTAGTTCGATTGATGAATCGTCATAATTAGTATGTTTCTAGTTTTGTCTTCATAATTAATTACGATTGGCATATTCTATAATCAGTGCTCACAAGTAGAGCGTAATACTCATTATAAACATCTACTAGGGGTTTATGGACTTTTTGGCAGTAATCTCTGATCAGATTAGTTGACCCCCAGACCTTATCAACACCAATTTCAGGTCAGTTTGTAAACGGTAAATTTAGCATTATTTCGGCCAGGGTACCATCTCTTTAGAGCTGCATTTTTATCACCAATATATGGACGTACTGAAGTGTTCGTAAAACATGGCCCCTACATTAATGCGATAAGGCTGTATGTCAAAAAATGGTTTCCAAATTATATAACGAACTCTCTTGGTTTATAGTAAGTGATTCCTGTTTGAAATGTAATTCAAAATGAAGAATTATTTCCGAGAAGACAAGAAGGAATAGTAGTAAGTGGTGACATATAATGCATAAGCTGGGAGAATTACTATTTTGCAGACCACGCTGCAGTTAAAATTAAACAAAAACCTAAATATTACCTGTAAATTTAGAACAGCTTTAGGAAACCTACATACCCGAGAGTTCTCGATTAAGTTCTCCTCTGTCACATAGGCTTGAGAGGGAAGATACTTAATCTGAAATCACACTAGTAAAAATACAAAAAGTACTTGAAAAGATCATAACATTCAAATCTATCGAAACGCATATAGAGTAAAATAAGAAAAAACAATTTTCTTATTTGCACATACCTAAACAAAAAGTAATTCTAAATTTGAAATATGTTTAAAAATCCGTTTCTAAATCGACAAAAGTGTAATGTTATCGACAACATTTTTGGACATCACTACTTGGTTTACGGAAAATATAAGTGAAAGTTCTCTCTGACAAAGGGCAGATGGGCTTTCAATTTTAATAGTACACGTTTGTTTACTAGCCGTCAGGTGATCGTAGTACGTTTACGTCAATTGATTGATTACGTCACATGCAATCACGTGGTTAGTGATGTTCATTTGAAACTGTTTTAACGTTTGTTTAGTGTATGGTACTTAATTTATATACGTGTTTAAAACTGTATTTAAATTTAGTATTAATTTTATACTGTCTGTGTGTTGACGCATTAAAAATACGGAAATCATCACCCCTGTGCATTCCGTGGGTGTCGTAACAGCCAACTAAGAAAGCAAACTATCCAGGACCACAGCACTGCAAAAGAGAAGGAAAAACTTGAAATAAACTCTATACCAACCGGACTTTCCAGGGTGGTATAGTAGGCCAAAACCCCCTTTCTAAGAAGAGGCCTATGTCTAGCAGTGGACCATTACTTATAATTATTCTTAAAGACTGTTGTTGATGATTATATAGTCTATAATCTAAGGATTGCAGATATCTTTGTCTGATTATACAAGTCATTGCCAGGCCGTTTGCTTCATTCACGCCTATATCCCGGAACAGGTAAGGCAGAGGTGTATTATTTACTTGTTATTGTTCTTAAAGTTTAAAACAAATATGAAATGTATTCATTGGTGCGGTAGACTGCATCGATGAATTTATGGGCACTATAAAAGTCTTTGTATATGTGTTTATATATGTTATAACTAGAAAATAACTCAGTTTTTTATCGTGTTATAGACTCTGAAGTAGAAGGTTAGAAGAAAAAAGATTCCCCAATTAAACATAATTGGGGATTTTTTTTTTACTGCGAAAAGACTGCGCACGTAAAAGCATAGCCTTGTATGTCAACATTTTTTCTTATTGTGTATTAATCTTATAGGGTAGACATATAGCGTTGCATTTTATACTAAATCATTTTAATATGAACAAATCCGTAATACCTTGTCAGTATAATTTACTTCTGACATCTTCAACAATCAAATTCCTAGTTCAATCAAACCTATAAAAAAAACTTAATGAATGATCCGCTTAAACATTCTATAGAAACCATCTATCCGTTTGATGAAAACTGTATGAAGAACGGTTCAGTTGTTTTGGAGTTATTCACATTCAGAAAGATAGGCAATAAAAACAAAAGATGTGATTTCAAAGGCATTTAATAAACCATCGACGTCATGACATTCCTTAAACCTAAGCAGCCCAGTGTCTGTTTATTTTTGAAACAAGTGAAAGCGAAATTGATTATCTAAATTTAGATATTACAGACCTCTGTTGTGAACCTGTCGAGCTTAGTGAGTTGTTAATGAAAACTATTTGTGCGCCAGTCTCGAATGTGTAGGAATAACTGCTAAATTTGGACTGTTGAGTTTGAAGGTCGTGAATGTTGTGCCGGGCTTTTCTAAATACGTTCAGTGGAATTATGAAATTCACTCGCACTCGTGTAGTACAACTATTTCATTAATCACTTTTGAAACACATTTGTACTGCTGTCGATGTGTGGGAATACTTTCACAAAATTCATTGAGCCCGCGGTAATGCACAATGTAAGTTTGGTTTATTGAACATAATAGTCAATAGCTACCAAGTATTTTTATATTTCGCGTTAAAACGAAATAATACTTTCAATAGCTTTCACGAGTTAAGTGCTGAAATAAAATCGTGATTGAATTATGAAGTGATTATAAATTATTGAAAAAAGAGCAAGTATGTGCGACGTCACGCGCCATAAGTCAGATCCTCCTACGACGGATAGTGTCTCACAAAACAAATAATCGTTATAACCATTGAGTGTTATGTCATATTATTCAATCGGTACCTTTAGTTACCTTCGTCAAATAAAATTATTTACAAGTACCTATACTAAATAAGTTAGGAAGGACCTCAAAATAATTCACGAATTTTGCTTATGAATTTACTATATTAACGAAATTTTCCCTTCTTATGATACAGTGGGCAAACGAACAGACGAATCATCTGACGGCAAGAGGCTACCGCCGCCCATACACACCTGTAACTTAAAAGTTACAAAAGCGTTGCCGAAAAGTGTGCTCTCCCACAAAGTGGCAGCCTGGATGTCCACGTCCCAGTTGCATGATGTTATGAATGTGGGCGCCCGGAGGAGGGTTTTCTAACGCTAGTGCAGCCAGCCGAGTACCAGGGACTTCCTTTCTAGGGTTATACCTGGTTCCCCGGCTATTAGTACCTGAGACGGCGTGCGGTTTTAGTCGGTTCAAGTCGACATGCTAGCGATAGGCCGGAAGAAAAAAAAAAGTGCAGCTACCTGCATTAGGTAAAATTTCTTCAACATGCTATCAGTAGTAGCATGAAGGAAGTCATCACAGATCACTCCGTCTAGCTGGCCCATTTGCTCCTTGGCATTAAATTTACAAAAATTCAATTCCCATAAAACAATGCTGTTTATTTGTGGGTAAAAATACAATTAAACTCGTTCTGTCGCTACACAGACGATTGCACCGAAAGAAAGGATATCGGGTATCGAAAATTCACGTTGTTTTCATCAATTTACATTTTAAATTAAATTTGCTGTATGTTTTTTTTTATGTTTTTTGCTAAATGCGGTAGGGTATTATTTATTATACAGTTACAAAATTTTATTATTTATCAATGCCATTGGATGCAAAACGTAAGTATTTGCAAATATCGTATTTTTCACCGCGAAATGTTTTCGCTTCTGGTCCGTGTGGTGACGGATTAAAATACAGAGTGTCCCCCACCCCTATTCATCCCGTGGGTGTCGTAAGAGCCGACTAAGGGAAAAAACTACGCAGAACAACAGCACTGCAGAGAGAAGGAAAACTTGACACAAACCCTATACCACCCGTCTGGCCACGTGGTATAGTAGGTCATAACCTCCTTTCTAAGGAGAGGCTTATGTCCACAGTGGTTTATTAAAGCGGTTGATATGATTTCGCTTCGAAATTTTAAAAAAAAAGTCTGGGCCTGATGAAAAACCAAAATTCTGATTCGAGTCAAAAAATTTTGTGAGGGGGACATCATTAGATCTTTGGTAATAATTAATAAGTAAGTTTATCGGATTTGGTTAACATAGTAAAGATCCTGCCTATTTAAAATAAAACAGAGAAGTATTAAAGTGTATACGGAGTGTAAGCTTTTAAAACAGGGTGTGCTGCTTGTGGGGTGCACAAAAAAATTACACTTTCCCCTTCCATAAAACTGTCGGAACAAAAGCTGAGTATTTTTGGGTGTAATTT